GAAACACGGAAAAGCATTTCTTGCCAGGTTACCAATTATGTTTACATTTTTTAAATGTTATTTTATTCCATAACCGTTTGGAATTTTTATAAGCGTTTTTGTCCATGCATTGCGTGGTTATCGTACATGCCTTCTACCAATTTTAATGCTTTTTACCACACTAATAGCTGAGCTGGAATATTTTTGTCTCGGACGGTATGCGCGGGGCAAAGCGGCCGGGGCAAAGTGGCCAGCCCCCAATTGGCCATAAGTTGATTCCATCTGGATAAAAATATTATTTATATTCAAATGTGTCGTCATGCATTCATCTCGGCCACTTTTCGGTTACATGAGTTACCAAATTATGCAATTAAATGTTTTTCCAAGAAAATTCTTTCTTTGTTTAGCAATAGGTGGGAAGATAACAAAGTAAACATCCATCTTCCCTTAAACCTTGTCACCATCAAATACCCTAGTCGTGCATGAGGCAACTATTCTGTTTCTCATATCGGGACTTGAGAAGTCGCCAGTGGCCGCTTTGCCTCAGGGATGGGGCAAAGTGGCCAATATGCTATAGGTTTAAAGTTTTGTCAATATCTCCCATATGTGAACGCCTTTGGAAATGAAACGCAGTTGGAATAAAAGACAATTTAATAGGGATCACATTGATATAGAAAGAATCTTTCCAAGTTTAAAAATCAAGCGTCGGCATCGTTCGAAACGTTAGGGTGGCCGCTTTGCCCCACTTTCCCCTATGATAAGGTGTACCAAAAACGGCGGCGCTCCGCGCCGCCGTTTTTGAGATATTCGCGCAAAACCACAAGGGGGGGGGGGGTGTTCAAACACCCCCCCAGCAGGGCGCGGGTTAAGTCTAGATACTGAGAGCACCGGTTTGGGAATCGAATGCGCAAGGTCTTAGCATTTTAAAGACATATTGATGTCTTTCTTTGACCGACAAAGACCGAGCCCGAATATCTGTTTTCGTATAATTCACGCAATTCAAGAAATGGTAGTGTCTGTGAGATATGTTATATGTACCGACTACCGAGCAAAAACGGGTTCAATTGTTTTCGATTTGACAGCGTGCACGCCACTAAATTGCTGAGTTCACAAGCAAAGATTCGCATTAACTCTATGCGCTCGTACTAAAACGCGAGACATAATATATAGCAATACCTATTATTGTGAATTGCATAACAAAGCACACTGAATTTCATCCGATGAATACCCGTTTAATTGACCGCAGCTCGAGACGGATAAAACGCAACGAAGTACCTTTCTAGATTCTATATGTTAAATCGACCACGACCAGCGTAACTCACATATAGGTACTGCGGGTACAACGCAAGAATCTCCCCTGCGAGAGAATGGATCCCTCGTGTGGGTCTGTGTCATCCGTGAACAGCCCACCACGGACTATCTGGCTGTTGTCTTCCAAGCAAACAGCATGTCAGAGCGACCAAACATCCGCCAAGGGGCTCTGGGGTGGACGGTGAGACAACACGTGACGCAAAGACCTGGATGGACATTGGACAATTGGACATGCCTCAAGACAGATGCCTAAAGACGAAACCACTCGGATGGAGTCAAAGGTACCAATATCGTAGTACCAACACGGATATCGACGATAAAGGGGGTGAGGAAGAGGGCTGTTTCATGCTCACAGACTCCTGTGAGGCTGTGGCCACGGCACAGACCACAGCAACAAGTCACAATGCATGTCATTCGTAACGACTCATTGATTCCGGTGCATTTTAACACGGCAGCAAAGTAAAATAGTCATTGTAGCTAAGTTTGTAGTTTCCGGTCATTGTACACTCGCAAAGAAGACGGGTATCTAGGAGTGTGTCACAGTCCAGACTGCATGTAAACAACTTGGCACGCCGACCCCGAGTCCCTACCCGGGCCCAGCTGCGCGCACCTGCGCACATTTCCCCTCAGTGACGCAACACTGCCCTCACCAACACCCAATGATCCCAGAGGCGCACTTACCGCTCTGTTTCGCTCCCTGCTACCCCAACACAACTCTCACGGCTCACTGTAACACACCAGCCTCACTGTCACGGGCGGGCGAGTCACGAGCACGCCCTTTCACTCCCGCGGTACCCTCCCTCTGCCACGGCCCGGCGCACCGCCCGAGCCGACTCGCTGGCTGCGCTACAGGGCGCAATGGCGTCTCCAGGGACCAGTTTTAGGACGGCGTGACGCTTATTTTACGGGCCTGCCGTCAGGCCCACCGCTGCACCCGCCCCTGGGATCGATGCGCTGGCACGGCCGGCTCGCTGGCTCCGCGCCCGCCGCAGCTGTGACGTAAGAATGACGTCATACCCACTCATCGGCTGATAGCGACGGTGAAGGACGGACGATTGTGGAAGGTTCGAGGTGCGGAATGGGCTCAGCCTCAGTCGTCTAACTTCGAGGGGTAAATTTTATGGTAAATGTGTAGGTACAGCTAAGTCTTTCAGCTTAGATGATGAATGGATGACTGGACAGGCCTAGTTCCGCGTGAGATGGATGGATGACTAATGATTGTAAGTGTTGAAGCATTTCAATTTAAAAAGACTGGAGGCTGCTAAAGCGGTGCTTATAAAATTATTTTTAGTTAACCTGACTTTCGAAAGCACACTGAACATGCATGTTTTAGCTTGGAAGTAATTAGGTACATCATTACGGCTTCGTGTTTGTTTGGTTGGTATTCGTGCACGAGTATGGTGATTATTGTACGAGCATAACGATTAATTAGTGATTTTAGACGAGTGCAATTATGTATGTATCCGAGTGCAAATCATCCGACATGTGCATAAAGTCATTTAAACCGGGAAAACTTAAGCATTGCTAATTCAAACACGCTGTCCGGTAGGGGAGAGTGGGGTAAGATGCCCAGGGTGGGAAAGACGCCCCACCCCCTCTAGCGGCGAAACAAAGAATTGAACCCGGAAATTAATGTTCTTAGCGTAAAGCGGAAGCCTGCCTTGTTAACTGCACAAAAATTTGCAAAGCTCAGTTGGGCAACGGCTGGCTGGTGAATGCATGTTTTTGATTTGCTGCTTTCGAAAAATATTTTGGTGTCAAACCATTGTAAATATCAAAGAAGGTAGATAATTTTTGCGTCCCTTGCTATAGTCGTGATACATTAACATGCGTGTACTGTGTCCCAAACAGTTTATTTCAGGGCGTAGTTTTATGGCTAACAAATTGTACTGATTTAATGTTACTACGGTACCTTGGGGTAAGATGCCCCCTGTCCTGATGGGGAAAGACGCCCCCCTAAATCCGTAGGCTGTCCTTCAAGCAGCCCGTCAAATCATTTATTACATGCTTGTGATGAGAGACAAAAGCCGGTCTGGGACTATTGAGAGTCCAGTACGGTCGGGTGCTCACCATGCCGGTCTCTCGGCCCACACAGAGACTTTTTGGGCGGCATCTGACTCTGAGAGCCCTCACGACGGCCTCGGTAGGCCCCATTTTTGGCTCCAGGGCCCCTCACGACATTCTTTGAGGGCTCCCACGTTGGCTCCACGGGCCGCGCTGGCATCTGAGGTCCCCACGATGGGCTCGAGGGCCCTCAAGCATCATGAAGACCTATAAGGGCCCCACAGTGGTCTCCGAACGCCACCACGGAAGCTTGTTTGGCCGCGCTGGACTATGATGACCCTAACGATGACCTCTGAAGCCCCTTACGACCACTTTTGAGGGCCCTTACGATGACGTTTGGTGTCTACTGCAGGCTCGAAGGGACTACTGATTCGTTCAGGCGATTCACGTGCCCATTTATGTCACTGATAGTGCAGGGGGCATCTTCCCCAACGCCAGGGGGCGTCTTTCCCACCCTGTGGGGTAAGATGCCCCCTTTGACTTCTTCAGGAAAATGCCTAATAGCAAAAACAGTTATCATATTTCAGGCACGAAAGTGTGATATTTTTGGAGAAAAATGATGTCGGTTTCCGTTGAAACTCCAAGTTTTTGCTTTCCGATCGTCATTTTCGAATAATATATGACATAGTAAAACCCTGGGCATCTTTCCCCACTCTCCCCTACTTGTGGGTAAGTTTGCGCACACTCTGCACCACCTACCTAGTAAACGAGTGAGAACTCATTCGAGATTTCAATTCTGGAACAAAATAAAGGGACTCTTCAAGATGCCGCCTGCAATAGATGAATCTTTCGTATGCTGGTACTTTTGTCTACGTTTATCACTGCATCTCCAGATTCCACGGTCTCCCTCCCTCGTTGCCATCTCAAGCGCCGCCTGGCGTCGCGAGATCAGTGGCACGTCTTGCGGTACAGTCTACCTTCAGGCGCTTATCACTAGTGCCATCTAGTGTAAGAATTGTGCAAACTCAGCGTTCGGCGGTACAGCATATCGACAGGCGTCGACTGGTGCTGCCATCTAGGAATAGGAATAAACAGCAATAACGTTGTATGGCAGATCACTTATCTCGTTCGAAGCAAGGAACATTGTTATAAATAAATGGTATTCCCTCCTGACGAGAAATACATCTATGTATATTACTTACAAGTAGGTATATTTCTTGAAAACGATAATGAATGGGCTATAGGTATGGTTGGATGTAGGTATTGCAGTTTTAGGACGTTACCTATTTGGATAGATAATAAAATATTTAAAATTTACGTAGGCCTATTGACTTTCAAAAATCATTTTCCAATGCTTACAAAGTGAAGGAAACGATTACCTATAGTTGGCGTATGTGCTTCAGTAATCTTGCGCTTCCGCATTAGACGGTGTAAATTCGCAAGTGACTATTTTCTGATAGTCTTCCTGCCTGGCAAACTCCAGTAAATAACGCCAACAAAGCACAAAATCCAGGATCAGGGATAATATCAGTTTCAGCAAATGACACTTATACGTTCGCCTGATATTCATATATGCATGCTTGCATTTTCACCGAACGGAACAGACCCGCAGTTGTTCATCATTTCCGCCTTGTCCCTCCCTCCCTCCATGCGTCGCACGCTCGGCTGTCACCTTGAAACGACACGCTATGTCCGCACTGCGGAACAAAGACAGTGTCTCGGTCCATGCGGGTCTCCGCTCAGTGCGACACCTGCCCTCAGCTCTAGCAGTTACCTGCGGAGGTCCGCCCCAGAGGCCCGCGGGCTACCGGACACACTGCGTCAGCTGCGGACGTCACTGCCGAGCCGATCCTGCGTAGTGCCACATCCGGAAGGGCCTCAGTTCTGTCCAGTGACTCAGCGACTGTCAGGTGAAGCCTCCATCCGGACAGTCGGCCCCTGACGCAGGACAGCCGTACCCGGGCTGGTCAGTGGTCACGACACAGGAAAACGGCCGCTCCGAACGGGTCGGGGGCCGGACGGCGCGGCGGTGGCGGGCGTCCTTCTAGGGCCAGTGGAGCGTCAGACTGACCGCAGGAACAGGCAGTGACGGAGGTACCGCGGCGCGGGCACCCATTCAGTGACTGGAAAGGTACCGGACTGAGCGCAGTCAGAGCGGACGGTGTGTGTGTTGTGTAGTTCTGTTGATAGGGAGATCTTACGGACGGACTGCTGCAAAAGTCAGGTGAGAGCCCTTTTGTAATATTTTCTTTGTTGAATAGACAAGCGGTATCTTTTGACCAGCTTGATCTCGATCTGCGCATTTTTCATTGATCACTTCTATAGTGCGGTGGTAGAGTGTTATACACACAGATCCTCATCTACATTCCACTCCGAACTCGAGCTGCTTCAGCGCGGGGGTGGCTTTTGAGATCACCTTTGCTTCACCGATCATTTGGCGCTGACCTCTTCTGAAATAAACGACTGTTTGTCCTCGTTTTGTAACGTATATTTGCCGTATTAATCATTTAAATGTGTATCGCTTAAGTACCTATCACATATGAGTGTAACCCAATTGCCAAAAGACACATAAAACATTTCCACAGCTCTACATTCCAAAGCGAATATACACAGGTCAGTGTTAAGAGAGTTAAGGCACATTATTGAGAATACATAACCCTATTACATGGATGATATAACACTGGATTGGTGTCTCGTGGAAATTAACATTGGGATCCGCGACATTGGGATCAGGCCTGCCATCTAGCGAGAGAATTATCGTAAGTTAGGAGCAAGCCAGGTGAACGCCATCTCTCAGCATTATGACACACGTGGGTGTAGTGTGTTAGTTGGCTTGAAGTGCATATTCCCACGAGTTGGAGGTAATCTTACTGGACCTGAGACGACAAAAATGTCTTAAATGCTTGAAAGCCAAAAAACGTCAAGCAGCTTTAGGTAATAACGAAAATAAAATGCGTAAGACGGTGTGTATTGAAACGCCCAGTCCCATCGGCTTGTACGACCTTTTATATGGTCATTTACTCACAATGGTACAGCAGTTTGACAATATGTCATACATATTTGGTAGGTTTATTCCTTCTTCTCCGAATTTCCAGCCCGATTTTCTTCATCTTAGTTAATGTTACGGCACGTGCCACGTGCCAGCTTAGGGTTGTCGAAATTGTTCCACATAAAGTAACTCCGCAATGGCTGGGCCCATTACAGTATAACTTCGTCAATAGTTAGGCACCCAGTGGCCAATGCATTTCCATGTGCACTATGGGGGTGCTACTGCACGTGCGCACGTGCGGGGTGCCGCTTCCATATCTCAAGAACGGCTGGGCGGATAACACTCAAACTTGGTACACAAATGTCACATCGATGCTCGCACTGCATTGATCAGTGCTTACATTGGTGCAGAATCGTTAGGAAAACGATGAAATGAGATGCGTGGTGTTTATGCCTTTCTGTTCCAGCAGCTGATTGATCCGCAACAGGAGATCCTTGCTTGTGAAGGCTTCGTCTCCCTTTTCCACTCCTTTTTTAACATTAACATAACATTAACATTTAACAATGTACGAAGAAGATCACACACCAAAGTTGTTTTAGGCGGCTATCTTGGGCCAGGGCTGCGGAGTTGTAGTCAGAGCCAGCGGTTCTGTTCCGACTCGAAGTCGGTTGATTTTTAAGCTGTAATCGGAGTATGAGTCGAACGTCACCGAAAAGTCATCGACTCCACAGTCCACAGACTTACCAGGGCTGCAGAGTCGAGTCAGAGTCGGAGTCTGTGTGAATCGACAGTTCTGCCCGGAGGAGTCGGAGTCGATATTTGGATACCGGAATCGGAGTTGGAGCCAAAGTCACTGAAATTTCATCGACTACGCAGCACTGGTTGGGTCCTTTTCATAGAGCGTCTTGAATGACATAAGAGCGGCAATGACGTTAGCAATTCCGTTTAACTTTTTCTTAGACTTATAGATAGTACTTACGTTCGTTTTGCTCAGTTTTGCTCTTTGATCGGACAATTTGTTTGATTTAGGCCAAGTAAAGACTCATGTGAAAAATAGCGAAAACGACACGTGCTGGCGAAGTCTCCAATAACTCCCTGTTTCACGATTTAATGAAGAAATAACATGGAACTGCTTATGTTATTACTGACCCTGCACATAAATCTATTAATTTCTTCGCTTTTACTGACATATAAAGACCTAACCTTTTGAAAAATTGCACAACAAGCCTGCTACTACACCACACTCCCGTGTGTCACAATGCTAATCATCGGCGTTCACTCGGCTTGCTCCTAACTTACGATAATTCTCCCGCTAGGTGGCAGGCCTGAGCTCAATGTCGCCAAAAACTGCGAAGACACCAATCCATTATTATCTCATCCATGCCTATTATATGTGATTGGTAAATACGCGATATTAGGTACCTTTGATGGTGCGGAAATATGCGCATGTATTATTATACTCGTATTATCATGATATTATTCCTGTGGCACAACTTACACCTATGACCTATATCACATTGGATGTCAATCTCAACCTACGAAATAGTACCTAAGGGTAAATGGAAAAATGTTAGGTTAAAGAGTTCTGGAATAGGCTCCAGGCCGGCCTTCGGCCGGCCCTACACAATGCCAATGCCCTACACAATGTGGGAAAATTAGACTTTCGATTAGAGGAGGCAATTGTTATCTCGTTTTACAAAATACTGGTCAATGACTGATGTCAAATTATGCAGTAACTTCTCCAACGCACGCTCACAACCATAATCGCTGAACCCTATGAGCCGTCGAAAAACCCTATGAGCGTCGCAACTACCAAATGAGGAGAGTTGACTATTGAGACGCTTGCTCTACGTATGACATAGGAAATGGGGAAATCCTCTGCAGCCTGATTAATGAGTAGTTACATTCACAGAAAATTTGCTTTAATGCACCAAATTTAACCCGCGCACCGACGGGGGTCTGCGCCAACTTAGTACCGACGGGGGGGGGCGGATGACCGCCCCCCCCTGAGATCTCGAGAACGAAGCAAGATAGCGACAAGCGGTAAACGGCATCGGATACGCACGGACAAGGTCTACAATTTTTACTAAGGTCATTTTCAGGTCAGGTCAAAGATGACGTCACAGGGGTCGAAAAAGTCAAAATGGCGGCGCTAGATATGGAGAGGGTTTTTCTCGAATAACTTTCGAAGTAGTCAAGATAGGAACAAACTAAGGGCATCATCGTGATCCTCTCGTCGATCCGCATCGAATGATATATATGTTGACCTCGAAAGGTCAAGGTCAAAGGTTGACCTCAGGTCACGTGACCTCGAGGTCATCATGTATATCATTTGATGCGTCTTGACGAGCTGAACACAATGAGACTATCCGCGCGGCTGTATCTTGTTCCTGTAAGGAGTTATTGGCAAAAAACCTTTGGTGACCTTTGATGACGTCACATGACCTTACAGCTGCCCAACAGCAAAACAGACCTCAAGGTAGTGAAGGTTGATCGTATGTGAAGTCATGTATGGTATATGGGGCCATTCCGACCCGTTTTAGTGGTAAAAACAGGGAGTTGATTTTTCCCCCATTGACTTATAATGGGGAGGTCGCGAAATTGACCTGACCTTAGGTCACCGACATCAAAATTCCGAGATATACAAATTGTAGCTACTAATGACCTAATAACATCCTGCGACTTTCAAAGGCCTCCGACATCTACTGTAGCTCTGGCACGGTGACAAAGTTGCAAAAAAGTGACTTGAGGTTGGGTCATTCAAAGTGACCTGGTGACTTGACCTTAAAAGTTAGGAGGTTCAAACTTGCACACCATGTGTAAAATTGATGAGAGAATAGTCATACCAAATTTCGCGGCGCTACGCGCCGCGGTTTTCCCGCTATCCGCGAAAAACCTCAGGGGGGGGCGGATATCCGCCCCCCCCCGTCGGTGCGCGGGTTAAACGACCACTAACGTGCATGTACGATGCCTATTGCCACAATTATGATACACAATAGAGCAGAAACCTTCTAACACACTCCCAGGTTGCACTAATCACTGGTTTCGTTCCATTGCGAATTAGGCAGGCACTCGCTGCTGCCTCACTTGACCCCGAGCTGCACACGGCGCAGTATAGGCCGAAGGTCAGGTCAGCAAGAGCATGACTAATTGGCACGCCTGAAATATGTATTTGTCTATGGATGCAAGTTTCGGCCGTCGCCCGTCAGCATGCTGAAACGTCTATAACCAAAGACCTCTTAATATCAATGACGTCATGAATTTGAAGCGTTGCTATTTACATATAAGTGAGATAAGAAGTCAATTTTTTTTTATAGAATTCTGGGATGAGGGTCAGGGAGGGGGGGGGGGTAAGGTATGGATAGCGGAAGTTAGTCCAGGGTCTGAAATGACAATCGTAGGCTCGGCGAACGAACAGTCGGACTCCGGAACAATTGAATCAATCAGGAACAGTCTACTGTCTAATTATGGAACAATCTCAAAATTACGGAGACAGCTCTCGCGACGAGTTGAATGTCTGCTCTCGCAGTAAATGGGTCTTGATGGTAAACAGGATAGTGCTGCGCTGGAGGAAATAAGGATTCTCGGCGACAGTCGAGCAACAGGAACTCTGGTACAGTGGAACTCTGGCTGACAATCCCGGGCCCGGCTCGGGGTCTTGTCGGTCCCAAGGACAGACCCTTCAGCTGGACCGTACCAGGTAGCTGCGGATCTCGCCAGATCTCAGGGCAGTGCTGATTCGGGACCGTGCCAGCTGTCTCAGGAGCAGCCCTAGTCCCAGGACCATGCCAGGTCTCGGGGCAGTGCCGACTCAGAACCGTGCCCGGTCTCAGGGCGGTGAGGCCGGTGCCACCGCAGCCCGTCGACGCTCGTGTCCACCGCGGATGTCGCTGAGGTGACGTGCCACGGGTGGCACCAGTAGCGGCAGCTTCAGCAGCACCGTCAGCATCGGTAGATAGAGGCTGACCTGGAGCGGCGGCGGCGCCATACAGCGCACCTCCAGCGTCTGCGGGGTGAGCGCCAGCACCAGGGCGTGAGCGGTAGCGGCCACCAGGGCGGCCCAGCCCAGACCCGACTGCACGAACATGAACTCGCGCCAGCTGAGCGAGGCGCCCACGCTCGGCAGAGAGGTGATCCCGATGACCGAGAGCAGTGAGAGCGCCACAGCGCCGGCCGACAGGAACGTCTCCCCGCGCCAGTGCATGCCGCGGTTGAAGACGGCCACTTGCTGGGTCTCGGTCTCGTTCTCTGCGACCACCACCTCTGCCTCGATTAGTGTCGGTGGTTGATAGGCGAGCGGCAAGTATCGCGGCGACCACACTGCCGCCGACATACACGCGTGCATCGCTGCCATGGCCAGCATCAGGAGGCCGAGCTGCTTCCTCATACGGAGCCAGTTGTCCAGCCAGCCAGGGAAGCGGCGGTACTTTGTGCCTCGCAGCAGCTGTAGATAGGCGGCCACCACGCCCGCCAGGTAGGTGGCCGCCAGCGTCGTGCCGGCCGTCATCGCCAGGGCCTTGTTGATGTTCACCATGAGCAATGGCTGGAACACCTCCGGCGTCCACGGTCCTCCGGCCTCGGCCGTCAGACACACCTGGTCACTCAGCAGCAGGTAGATGTAGCTGAGCATGAACATCAGCAGACAGAGAAGGCCAGGAACTCGCCAGGCGGGGAACAGCTGTAGCGGGAGTGTCTCGATCCGCCGCGCGGCGCGCAGACCTCCCGAGTCCACCGGGAAGAAGCCTAGGTCGGACACGAGACCGGCCACGCGCCGACGGGCTGATGCTGACTCTCCGGCCACCATCACCTGTTTGCCGGCCTGAAGACCGCGCTCCAGCGCGTACGCTGACACCACGTTGAACGCTTTGACGACTTTGGCGGTGGGCGCCAGCGCCTGGAGCCTCTCGGCGTTGGCTAGTTGGCTCACCTCCTCAGCTGAGACGCCGTTGCTGACGTCCACCACCACCTTGTTGGCTAACAGATCGAGCGGTAGTGAGTGGTAGAAATGCGCTGGTACGCAGACGACCAAGAGGTCGGCCGCCGCCGCTGCCTTCTCAGTAGAGACCACCGTCACATCAGCATCCTCCGCGAGAGCTGGCACCCGGGTGGGTCTTCGGCTGCCCAGAGTCACCCTCCAGCCACAGAGAGCTGCCCGGCCAGCCAGCGCGCGACCGTAGTCTCCCGCTCCCAGAACAGAGAGATGCCGCTCCTCCGACTCCACCAGCTCCGGTGGCTCCTTGACCGACTCTGGTGGCTCCTTCGCTGGCAGCGGAGCTTCTGACTCCTCAGAATCCTCCTCCTTGGTGTCTGAAGTCAAAGTCACCGGCGCCGGCAGGGCGGACGTAGTCAGAGCCTGAGGTAGCACCTGAGGTGGGGGCTGGCCGTACATGATGTTAACACTCACAGAGTACGGCTTGTCGTCTGACAACTTCAGTAGCTCATCTAGACTCATGTTGGCGAATCTTCGGTCCGGAGAAGGCCCCAAACTAACCATGTCTTTGGGTGTATCCTTGGGCGGGTCGCTGACTTGCTGTCTCGGGGTATCTGTAGGTGGCTGTTTGGGCGGGTCTCTTGGTGGGTCTCTCGGTGAATCTCTGGGAGAATCCTTGGCCTTCTCTATCGGTGGGTCTCGGACCAGCCCGCGGTAGCGGTTTGTGGCACCTTCCGATGCTCGTCTGGTGCGGCCAGCCGGGGCCGCCCGGGCCACCTGCTGACGTCCGGCCTCCGCCCTGAGTGCGTTAGCTCGGTTGTTGGAGTACATCTAGAAGTGGGACGGGAGATGGTCACTCAGGACTTGAAGCAACCCCGATTTCGAGCTGATATCTGTGCCTGTTAGTTCCTCTCCGTCTTTCAGGCATTATTGCAAGAAGTTTCATCATTCCTCCGTTTCGCTATCTCCAATTTACTGTGCACTTTCGATTCTTCACTTGGTCGTGATGGCATACCTACCTCCAAAAGTCCGACTTCCCTGTCCTTTTCGCTCGGCGTCACTCAATGCACTGGACGTCACATACTTTCCGTGTCGACTACACTGAAGGACACTCCACCCAGCACGTGCAAGCCCCAAGGCCGCTCGCACTCAACTGACCCACCCGGCTGCTGGCGGCGACTCGGCCATAATTATCGACAAGTCTGCCCCCTCCCCGCCAGCACAACAGCCAAGTGGTACCCAGTTTCTTCGTTCATTGACCTTACGTTCCGTGTAGGTCGATGGTGTTTGGCTGTGCGATTTCTTTGGAATAAGGTGCATGGACCCTTGCCATCATTCACGAAACCTGACGCACGCTCATCGGTCGATTGGCACTTCCTGCCGGGGCAGTAAACACTAAACACCCAACTTCGGGCCAATGGTGATGCCGTTGCCATGGCAACCATAGAGCGTGGGCTGTGTGAGTGCATTGTGCGTTCGTCCTTTTTTGCCCGAGTCGGACAGCTTATTGTCATCATGACAAAGTAGCGTGCACAATATCGTCCCATTCGCCTCTACGGCTTTGCGATGCTGCTAATAAAAGGAGGCGAAAAAAGATGTTTTGTTACGGAGCGAGCGAAGCGAGCGTAGTCTTTCCTTAGATTAACGGAAATTTCTGAGTATGAGCGGCCGGCCGGCCGGCCGGCCGGCCGGCCGGCCGTGGTCACGCTTTTGCGACGCTTATATCTCAGCAACAACTTGACCGATTTACATGCGGTAATTTTTGTAGGGTAGCTTCATTCCTTCTACCAAGTATTGGACTATTCCCGATGCATGTGGGTGACCCCTTATGCACGTGCCACGTGCAAAACGAAGAGGTGTCACTTTTGTAATTGTTGCAATATCTCGGTAACTACTTGGCCGATTACGCTGAAAGTTGGCATGTAGGTAGGCACCCACTAGGCACTGCATATACATGTGCCAGAGTTGGGGTGCTGCTGCACGTGCGCACGTGCAGGGGTCGTTTCCAGATCTCGGGAACGGCTGGACCGATTGCGCTCAAATTTGGTACACGGTTAGGGACCGGTTAGTAGGGTGCCGTGCACAAGTCAGTTGGGACCCATTTTGCACGTGCGCACGTGCAGGGTGCCGCTTCCAGATCTCGAGAACGGCTGGGCCGATTGTGCCCAAATTCGGCACATCGCTAGAGACCAGTTAGTAGGGTGCCGTGCACAAGTCAGTTGGAGGTACCCCCTCGCAATTTCGCACGTGCAAGGCCCACCCTCTCGCTCGCTCCGTTAGTCGCCCCAAAAGGCGTTATACTGGTGGTTACAGTTACAGAAGTAATCGATTCAATTCTACTCATTCAATTTACCAGCCCAAAGGAGCACAAATTGCAAATTATCGGAGCCTTGACATATACCTACCTACTTACTTATTGCTTAGGGGTGTCGTTTTACATACCTACATATGATGTGATACACATTAGGTACACAGTACACACTGCGGACTTCTAGCAAAGCAGACTTTGCAATAAAGTTAATGAAATATGCATCATCTCACGTTACAACTCTGTCCTCTAACGTCGTAATATCTCAACCCGTTCTGACATCCCCGTTTTCTCTGTCTCTTCACAGGTGACCTGTCACTATGTCCATCGCCTACCGGAATCGCCGTGACCTTGACCTGGATGACCTCGACGACGACGACTGGCACGACCGGTGGGAGGAGTTTGGCGACCACCTTGGCCACGCCCTCTCGGCCTGGGTGTGGGTAGGCGTGGTCGTGCTCGCGCTGGTCTTCATTCTAAGTCTGGTGGCGCTCTGCTACTGCTGCCGACGCCGCCGTCGTGGGAAGATTCTCCGAGCTAAGCCCGCGGGAAGCCAGTGAGTATACGAAAGAGTGAAGAGGGATATGGGGAGAGGTTTTGACATCAAAAGGCCAAAAGGTTTTTAAATGTCAATTGGGGAAGGTAATGGCGATACAGCACTGCAAAACTACGGCGTTAAAACGTTTATAGCAAAGTATGCTGTCACGGCTATTTATCAATTAAATTCCCATAAATGAAGCACCTCCTAAGTAACGGAGCAACTTTATCTTGCATTCCATCGCCGGTCACAGGGAACATTTCAACAGAACCTGCCAGTGATTCAACTACTGTAATGCTACGTTAGGCCAAACATATCGACCGCTCACTACGGTAGAAACTAGAATTGGCGCTCAAAGCGCGATGGTCAGTGAACTTAACGAATCGAGTTCCAAGTGTTTGTCGACGCTATTCGTGGACGTGTCGCCCTAGTGAGTCATGCGTGTTGTACGTGCACACCTGACGTCATTCCTAACGACAGGCACGACAGGTCCGTCGACGCATGGACCCGAGCGATATTTCATTTCGTAGAAAATTGAAATGCTTCAAGGGTCACTAGCCGATGGAGGATGGGGTTAAAAGGAGCTGTACCTACCTTGCCATTGAGATCCAATTAAACTAAGCTCGCTAAAATTGATCACAATCATGCAAATTGCACAGTAATTAACGACACAACGCTTCTGACTACGAATGCGGTTAATGTTCAAACGCTACGTCGCAATTTGACTGATAGTTATTGCTTATCACTATAGTATGGTTCGGCGCCTTTTTGCTACTTATCTATATGTGGCTGCCAAAAATAAACATACTTACGATTATTTATTATATTTCCAACTACAAAAAAAAAACATCAAAGCTAAGCGTTTCGCGTCACTTAAATAGCTATAAATTAATACATAGCTACTTCTTTATGCCACTGTAATTGAATTTATACGCCGCTCTTCCCTTCATTTTCAGAATTCCAGCCATCTCAGTGACCCGTCCATCTACGACACACATCTCTGAGAACGTCACCAGCACCCACCAGAAGACGCCCACACCACCGAGCGGCTACCCATACCCACCGCCGGGCGGCTACCCATCTCAGACCACCTACTACCAGCACCCGCAGCCGGTGCCCCCGCACCCGCACCCGGCGCCCCCGTACGCCCCGCCGGCGCCCCCGTACGCCCCGGCGGGCGCCCCCGTTCTGCCGCCCCCGTACGACGGGTATCACCAGCAGCCGGCCTATAACCCGGCCTTCCAGCCCGGGCCCGAGGACGTCAAGACGCCCATGTGAGGGAAAGACGGGGAGAGGAGAGGTGAATAAGACAGAGAGCGAAACTTGAGATGGAGAATAGAGAACGAGGGAACAGCTGGCTGGTTAAGTGGCATTAGAGGGACCTGTCTGTGACGGCTAATACCTAAGTGGAAAACTCCGCGAGGACGGGCGATGACTGATACCGTACTGATACCGTGCCACTTCTTTCGTCTATGCAGGCCGCTATTCATGGTAGGTGTTTTTCTAAGAACTTGCCTTTGTCACCAGTGCCATTGACGCATTGAAGTACTGACAATGCGACAGTCTGCATGTGAATTGTTTGCGATGCTTGGTGTAATAATGTCCAGCTAAGGCGCCATTCGTTGGGATCTCGCCACATGTTGCTAGACAATAGAGTTCACATCTACGTTGAATGGTGTCACATAATGGTGTTGTATATTTTACTTACGCTAATAGAAAGAATAAATAATTTTCACCGTGTTCGTTTTATTATTATTTTCTTTTTGCCGATATGGCCATGCACGAACCATGCACAGCTCTACAATGATAGCCGCCCATACTCCACCGTATCGATGGCCTTTTTTAGCTGTAGTCTGTTCCGCAATGGATACAGCATGCACGATTGGCATCTGAATTTGAATGTTAGCGGTGAAAGTAATCACTCTGCAAATTATGGACCGTAAGCACAGTACACAATCCATTCAAGTTGTTAATTTGAAGCCGATACCTTTTACTGGTGTCAACTGTTTTGTGCTAATTTTCGACTCAATGGTAAGTACCTAACACATTTTTAGAGTCTTTACTAATAAGTACATGCAAAATTAGAGTTCAAAATAAAATTTCATTACAACTCACCATGCCTTTCCCTATACATAGTGTTTCAGCTTTGGAAGTGGCTGCTGTTCATGCGAAGTAAGTTCAAAGTGTTGTGACGCCATACTTCCGTGCAGTTGTACTTTCACCAGCACGGGAACTCATGCTGCCTTGAAAAACCTAGCACGCAAAGCAACGAGAGATGCTATCAGTGCTAGAGCGCTATATGGGGATCACCGCCCGTTCTACCGAATCGTGCTGGTTTTGAAAGCAAACGTTGCATTCCAACGAATAATGTTCAATGTCGCAGCCTTGTTGAGGTTCACTATGTATGGAACCGTTTACAATGTGAGGGTGGAAGCTGGAATTTTGATTATGTCGTTGCAATATCCATTCTAGGCCACACTCGATTCGTAAGTATGAAAAAAGATCCACAAACCAAACAAGCTGCAGCGCCTATCGAACTGTATTTTCCTTCATGCACATGTGGGGAAGTTCCATGTCTCAGTATCTGTGTCGTGCCTATCGTCTGTAACAGTAGACGTCCAGGGAGGGGAAGGAGGTCAGACGTCACGCTCAGTAGCCCACTGAGGCGGGATCAGGACCCAACCACAGCGAATTACTGAAGAGGGAGAGTCTCCACCCCAGTGAACCACCAGAGAGGGTGTCCAACTCCTCAGTAGACTACCTCGGCGGGAGGCGGACGCTGCTGGCTGTACTTCAGCTCCAGCTCGTCTCCAACCTTGTCCACCACGCTGAGCACATAGTCGAGCTGCTGGCGGGTGTGCGAGGCCGACAGACAGAACCTAGCTCGCGCCTCAGTCAGCTTGGTGGCCGGGTAGGCGATGACAGCCGTGGCCACACCGTGCTCCTTCAGCCGACGGTACAGCGCCGCCGTCTTGCTGACGAAGAACGACATCAGCGGCACCACGGGGGAGTCGTCGTTGCCGTAAACGATGAAGCCCATCTGACGTAGACGCTGGCGGAAGTAGTGAGAGTTGCGAGCCAGGGTGTCGATCTTACGTCGGCCCAGATCGGTGCCGTCACGGCCAAGGATGATCTCCATGGAGGCGATGACCTGTTGAACCACGCACGGAGGCATGGCTAGTGCGTAGGCGGCAGAATGACTGTGCGCACGGAGGTGGTCAACTAGCGCCCGGCTGCCGCCGATGTAGCCACCAGCGGCGCCGAAACTCTTGGTGAAAGTCCCCATCATGATATCTACATCGGTCGGATCACATCCGTAGTATTCGACCACACCTCGACCCGTGGCACCTACGGCTCCGATGCTGTGAGCTTCGTCGAGGTACAGGTAAGCCCCATACTTCTTCTTCAGCCGGATGACGTCGGGCAGCAAGACGATGGAACCCTCCATGCTGTAAACACCCTCCACAACGATCATAACCTTGCGCCAGCGACGGCCCTCGGTCAGTGCCGTGATGAGCTGCCTCTCCAGGTCAGCCATGTCATTGTGTGCGAAGACGCGGATCTTCGCTCCCGACAGACGCATTCCGAGGATGATGGAAGCGTGATTCATCTTGTCACTGATCACCAGGCAGTCGGGCCCGACCAGACTCGGGATGTTGGTCGAGTTGGTGGCGAAACCCATCCCGAATGTGATGGCGTCCTCAGTGCCGAGGAACTCAGCCACCAGCGTCTCCAGCTGCATGTGAAGTCGCTGGGTGCCGACCTCCTGTCGCGCGGCGGCGGATCCCACGCCGTACCGCAGGGTGGCAGTCTCGGCCTGGTCAGCACACGGTCCCAGGCCGCCGAAACCCAGGTAGTTGTAGGAACCCAGGTTGATGTAGCTGTGTGATTCTCCAGTTAGTGTGAAGCGCGAGGAGAGCTTGTTTTCGAAGCGGCGCTCCATCAGAGATACCTGTCAGGACAAAGAGGTCAGTCACTGGAGGTCAGCCAGTGCACAGAGGTCAGATAGCCCACACACATATGAGCCGTCTGAGAAATATCTGACGGCAACTCAGACGGCTCACCAAGTCACCTGAGCGGCGAGTCAAAATAATTTTCCAAGAACTAATTATAAGGACGAAAAAAGCGCACAACGAAATAAAAGTGACACTCTTTCTGCTGAACAGAATTTAAGTTATTATGTTCGAGCGAACTACCAACTGGACTACAAATGTTTCGAGCTTCAAATATACCTACTCCGAAATCTTCAATGTCTTGCACACTACACGCAGTACGCACAGCTCGTCGCCGATCAGTAGCCTCTCCGCCCGACCATTCCCGCGCTTCAGTTTTCTGTCTTTCTTTGAATACCTTCACTCCTTACCATGTTGGTTGCCGCCGAGTCGATGGGGTTGCAGAAACAGTCCTGCCACCGCCGGAAGATGTTCCGGGCGTGGAAGCCGCCAAAGTCGTCCGTCCTGTACAGTGGGGTGTAGTCCTCCCGGCCCGCCTCCATGTTACTCGGAGGGGCGATGTACTCTGAATAAAAGGGAAATGTTCGGTGGATAAGTGAGCTAGCTTGTGAATAGGTAACGCGCAACAAGCTCGCTTATTTAGCGTTACCGTTCGAGCTTCGAACGATTGAACGGTTTGCATCGATGACTGCCGGGCTTCATAACTGCGCGATTACTGGAGGCCAAAGCAACGTCTGTTTTTAGAGGGGTTACAGGAGACACTCATTGATTGATATTTAATTTGCCGTTCTATTTCCTGAAGCCCGAACACATTCATCGGGCATCTACCTACTCTCAGTCAATTAAAATGATTTCGACCGATCAATTACTGTTGAATCAATAAAAGTCAGGTCAAGGTCAAGGTCAATATCGAGATAAAGATCATAACATTAAAAGTACATAATTGACGTTGGAAGTGGTCGACTCCGTCTCCAAACGATGTATCCCCACTCTTCCTCCCATCTCACCTAACTAACTTTTAATTGACTAAGAACAAACAGGCCTAATTCATTGAAAATAGAACCGTCAAATGAAATCGTGCAACGCATATGCTTCTTTGATGACTTGCATTATTACGCATCCGCGTTGTGTGCTATTTATGAAATCATCCATTACCCAAGTTTTACCGAAATTTCACAGATCGCTCGGTTCTGTCTGGCGTTAGTTTTACCTTTGACGTTTCCCACGGCCTTGAGCACGTTGATAGCCAGGTTGACCAGGAGCTCGACCCGCCGCGGCGCCGGCTCGAAGGTTTCCTGGTTGTACTGGCGCAGCTGACGCTTGGACTGGGTCGGAGCAGCCTGGATAGGCTCGGTGTCGGCGGCGGTCGCGGCCTGGAATCAGGGACACGCAACGGCGGAAAACGGCCGTTAATGGAATCGGGCGTGGGCGGCTGTCGCTGCAGAATGCAGAACTCTGCAAGGTTCGTGTACGGACACATGCCGAACAGGTTTTTAGCGCTACCGATTTTTGTTACAGCTAGATGAAACTGGTATGGTATAGATAATTCATACCGAGACACTAGGAAAATAATACAGGAGTAGGTAAGGTAGCAGAAGTGATGCAAAATGCATGCCTGCGATGGCGTTAGATACAACGGGCGATGCTTGGACATGGTCCTGAAATGACCGATATGATTTCCTTTGTTGTCCGTGAGCGACTGATGCTTGCCACCATTTGGGCAAGAATTGTATTTGTATTTGTATTTGGGCAAGAAATTGTACCCCATGACCTAACACGAAACAGTTCATGCTTCGCCGTTTTACTCATCGCCACGGTAGGTACAGGTCTCGCGAGATTAAGCGGTAGGTTTTGCACTTTTACATTTCCGGTTATATCTCAGAAACTAATCGATCTACGATGAAGCCATTTTACACGATCATGGCCGGCTTGTTATCCAACAAGTCGATCGCATCTTCAACCCTTAAAAGCTTAAGACGACGAAGATATACCCTGAATTACACTAAATTTTCTAGGTGCAAAACCTACCGCTAAAACCCGCGAGACCTGTACCTAAACCGGCGAAACGACAGGGTACCTATATTGAATTAGGGCGAAACGATACCTTTTCATCGATAGTCTCCTTCACTCCAACATCATTTTTCTTCTCCTCATCGTCCCACTCCTTCTCTTCCTCATTTACTTCACCCTTCTCCGCCTTCTGTCCCTCCCAGACTTCAGGAATCTGCTCAGTCTCTTCGGTGCCCTCGAGTCCCGTCTGCAGCACCCTCTGCTCCGACCGCTCCCGCTTCAGTGGCGCTGCCTGTCCAGAGGGCGCCACCAGCTCTAGGCCGCTGTCCGAGCTCTCGTCCTCTGAGTCGGCCGAGCCAGGCCCGGTGACGTCGTACTCGGAGAGGACAGAGGAGAGCGAGATCTGCGACAGCTGACGGCCATACCTGAAAAAATGAGCGAGTGATGCAAAAGGACCGCAACGGCCACCGTCTACATAGGTACATAAACATGAAACATGACTATCCGGCAATCTCTGGTGATTATAACTGCTACAAGTGAGAGCAAATGAGCCTTTAGAAAAGGAAAAGCGCAAAACCGATCTCAAAATTTAATGTGCGATAGGCCATGGCCTTTAAGAGCACAATGACCACGTTGAGTAGCAGAGTGCCCATCTCGATCACAGTCCGAATAAAAAGGGTGCCTTGGACCGACCCGCTCCAACAATAGTCGGACCATCCTCCCGTCGTTGGGCCCGGACTGACCCAGCGGACGAGGCGGAGCTCAGAGAGCCCAGCGAGCTGAGAGAGGCAAGAGAGTCGACTTTGTGGGCCGGCCGGGCGTCGGTGGGGGCCACCGGCGCCGGCTCCGGCTCCACACTCCGCTCCTCGCTGCTCTGGGGCATCGCGCCGGCTTCTGGGGGCACGTCGGGACGAGAGAGCACGCCGCCCCGCCGCCGACACACTACAGGCCCCCCTGGGCGGGCGGCGGTGCCCTTTAAAGGCTGTCTGACTACTCACAGCTGCAGGGGCGTGTCAAGTGGGGCGAGGAGGGCTGAGTGAGGAGGAGGGGTTGGAAGCCAGTGGGTGGTGGACAGTGGAAGCTGCAGGTGCCGGCGTAACTTTTGAGATTATAAGAACGATCCAAGTTGGAGATAGGAACAGTGCGCAGTAAAAAGCACTGGATGATGACTGACCTCGAAGAGACATACCTTCCTTTCCCTGACGACAACTATACTCTGCCATTCCCAGAGACGTGGGCGGCGCTGCATCCGCCGTCCATTAGCGTGCTAATTTGCAGCGCATCTGAGCGAACAGGTGCCCGTTGTCGGCGATTACTCGGTGACATTAGGGCGGACATTTGTCGGCCTGGCGACCATGGACGACGGGCTGAGCTTCGGCAGCTGTGGAGCTGCGGCAGCTGAGCACGCATCTGAGCTTCTCAGGTGATGACATCCCACGCGGGCAGCGCATGCCCAGTCAATAAAGGTTCGTGTTTAGGAGCTGGAAAGGATTACATGTCCACCAGCTGCAGTGAGTGAGGCGCTCCTCATTAACCTACAAGTCTGACAAGTGACGAGTTCATATATCGCTGTTACGCGTTTATAGCCGTCAATTATGTGGGAATCGAGTGTCTGTCGGCAGTGTAAGTGCTCCGATTGACAGAATGTTTACGGTCGGGGTCAAGGGTGATGTGTAAAGTGAAAGTCGAGAGCTCTGGGGTAGCTCTTTAGTTAGAGCTCCCAGTTCAGAGGCTGAGAGCTTGAGAACTTGATTGCGTTCGCCGCTCACAGGGTTGGCGAAGCCAGCTATCGGACACTATCGAGACTTGTGTGTGCGCTCATACTCGTCAGGGCAGGGCACGGAAGGTTATTAACTCGCACGCTTTATTTGGTGTCCGTGCATATTGCTCATTGTCTATAAAAATTCACGGCCTATGTTAGTCATTGATGAAATGGAAAGCAAACAAATTTTCGCATTTATTTACCTCTCATAATTTTGATAAAAGGCAGCGTTAGCCTTTTTACTTCGAGATGTCGTACGCCATAGGATCTGTGCAGAAGCTTGAACATATAACGTCTAAAGCAGTGAATGCAATGGGCGGTCAGAGTAGGCAAGTGGTTTTCAAAGGATCCCAATGGCTTTAATTTTCGTCCTCTGACAAACGACTTCAAGGTCAACCTAAATCAAATCGCACCTGTGTTCCGTCGATCTCTCATCAAGAGACCGGTCGTCTCCCGCCTCTGGCGACCTCCAAACACAGCTGCAGCCTCCAAACCGCCACATAGACCTCCGTCCGTGGCCATCAGCCTCCCATAGTGCCGTGTTTCCGGACATAAGTCACGTCCTTGCCGTCTGACCCCGTGACAATGGCCGGGTTTTGTTCGCCCGGTCGCCACAGCTGTCGTCAGCAGCCGATCATTACGTCATTTGGAGCGGGCGGTGTCCGCGACGCGGACGGAGGCGCGGTGTCCGACCAGCCGTTTCCGGCCGGCCGCAGTGTCCACCGTTTAGAGTGTCAGCGTCCGGTGACTGTGGGTGTGGGTGTCCGGTGATTTGGGGTGTCGCTGTGTCGGTTTCAGGAAGCACGAGTGAGTAAAGCATTTAAGTCGGTAAATATTTAACTGGAGTCCTTCCAATGCCCGGTCTCTAAAGCACTGAAATGCAAGCACAGGCACACAAAAAGCCGTGACAATTGCTACTATCACGAATAAAGATAACATAGCCTTTCCTCTGTCCATTTTTTACGGTTGTTCGCGCGAGAACAGCCGAAGCCTGAGAAGTATTCGTCATGTATAAGTCCAGCCTCCAGGCATGCCTGGCTCTTATCGAAACATGGAGGCATGTTTGCTTCGAAACCACACACAGTGCGGCGCTCTGTGACGATCCAGCGCGTTTTGGTCGCGTCTGGCGCGCTGCGGCGGACCTGGCGCCGGCGCGACAAAAAGCGTTCACAGTGGCGATGTCTGGCTCGGTGGCGGCGTCCTGCGGGCACCGGACCTGCCCCCGGCCATTAGAGCATCCTGTGACCGGGAAATTAGGGACCACCTAGGTGGTGCGCGCCGGGGCTGGCGCTTCACACGCTGTGATGAATCGTAGCGCCCCGGCGCAGGTGTAAGGGTGTCACCTTCTGCCAGTGTCCTGTCATGTTGGCGATGAAAGGAAGTGATTCGCAGGGTAGCTGCTTTCGAGTGTAATTGGCGGTAATCAAGGGTGATGAGTGGCGTATCATTTATTTCCTTTTTTGATGCCTATCAACTAAGTAGAGATGCGGGTAGGCATTTATACCGAAGAGAGTTACGAGGAAATGTGCCAGCATGTTTGTTGCCAAAGAGGTGCCGCTCGATTTACATCCACATGCATAATGATAGATTGAGGGCTACGCATGGCAGCTCTATACATATATAAGACCAGTATAACGCCTTTTGGGGCGATTAACGGAGCGAGCGAGAGGGTGGGCCTTGCACGTGCGAAATTGCGAGGGGGTACCTCCAACTGACTTGTGCACGGCACCCTACTAACCGGTCTCTAGCGATGTGCCAAATTTGGGCACAATTGGCCCAGCCGTTCTCGAGATCTGGAAGCGGCACCCTGCACGTGCGCACGTGCAAAATGGGTCCCAACTGAATTGTGCACGGCACCCTACTAACTGGTCCCTAACTGTGTACCAAATTTGAGCGCAATCGGTCGAGCCGTTCTCGAGATCTGGAAACGACCCCTGCACGTGCGCACGTGCAGCAGCACCCCAACTGTGGCACATGGATATGCAGTGCCTAGTGGGTGCCTACCTACATGCCAACTTTCAGCGCAATCGGCCAAGTAGTTACCGAGATATTGCAACAATTACAAAACGGACACCTCTTCGTTTTGCACGTGGCACGTGCATAAGGGGTCGCCCACATGCATCAGGAATAGTCCAATACTTGGTAGAAGGAATGAAGCTACCCTACAAAAATTACCGCGTGTAAATCGGTCAAGTGGTTGCTGAGATATAAGCCTCGCAAAAGCGTGACCACGGCCGGCCGGCCGGCCGGCCGGCCGCTCATACTCAGAAATTTCCGTTAATCTAAGGAAAGACTACGCTCGCTTCGCTCGCTCCGTAATAAGCATTTGTGGAATATATGATAATTATTTGATTGAGCAATGCATCTTTATCTCGGACGGATCCTTAGATGACGCGTCATTTAGTATCGAATGTCTGGCGAACGCACTTATTGATCGCACTTATTATTGTGGACGATTGACAAAGGTCATCGAAATTATTTACGCGTAAATAATTTCGATGACCTTTGTCAATCGTGACTGTAAGGGAGTTCGCCAGACATTCGATACTAAGATCATGGGCTAGTTGAGTTGATGCGGGCCGTGCTTTTGGACGCCAATTACAGGTGTGCCGGTGGTTAGTAGCTGTGTGTGTCGATGTTTCCATGGCAAGTGCTCGGGGGAGTCAGGTTCCCACAGCAGGGAGGATGTGGCGGCGGTCGCAGGGGAAATTGTGGAGTGTTTACCTGCGCCGACACGTTCGACAGGTCTCCGACACGAGGCTACCGGAGGTCCCAACTCAAACCCTCCTCTAACCCACCGTCCGCGGGCGAAAAACATAATCAAGACGTTTAACTTTCAGCCGGCCCTTGAACTGGCCGTAAGGTCGAGTTTACCGCGTGTGACGGGCTGGTTTGGGCTCTACTGCCGGTGAGCCTGAGGCACCACTTCCCCACCAATTTAGAGGAAGGGTGTGGAGTTGGTGATAGCCCAGGAGGACAATGGGACACGAGAAATGAGACGATGGAAGCAGGTGGAAGCGCAGGAGGACTCATCGTTGGAAATGAAAGATCTTGATTTGATGAAGCAGATGAAAATGTAATCTAAAGAGATCTTGGTGATTGAGATAATCAAAGTATGTTCACGACCTACGACTTCTGGCCGATTTATGCAGACCGACCGACATCTCCCAAGGTGTAAGTGAATACCACCATGCCGCTGGCCCGGTCGCCAGTCACCCCAGTCGGTCCCACAACTCGCTCATCCAGCAGTGGTAAGCACAGCCACGGCCGCCCCACCCCGGCCCATCTCCGTGACTGTCCGAACTGTTAGACGCGGCCCGGGGCGGGTCGATCGTGCCGTCCACCGGCCCACACCACAGAGAGCGAGCCTCTCGGAGCGGGCGCCGTCCAAATAAACGGCGCCGGCCCGGCCCCCGCATTTCCATGACAATAGACGGCGTAGCTCATCCGAGCTCGCTGATAAATATCTCAATTACTGTTGTTCTGAATTTGTAGTCTTAATGAGACAAAGGGCTCGGCTGGCCGGCGGTCGAGCGGTTTCAATGGCCGGCAGTGCACGCCCTCATTGTGTGATCGTCGAGCCGGCCCGTTAGAGGCAGCGCGCTTCGTCAGCTGATAGGCGCCGCCGTCGATCGGTCAGCACTCAGCGGCGCATAGGGCGGCCGCACGGGTGTGGACAGGGAACCTGAGAAGACTCAATAGTCATGAGGGAAGAGTGATTCGGTGGATGTTGGTGATTACAGTCCTGTTTGAGATGACATTTTTGCATGTTGCAAGGTTATCCATGACTGGGAAAAAAGGTAGGAAAATGGTGATTAAAAATTCACTCCGCGTATTTTCATATTCTATTTAGTAAATGAGTGCCAGGCAATTCGGGAAGAACAAAGTGACAGCCAGCTGCAGATAATGCCGGAAGATTAGGTACTTGCCTCGATGTTCCTCACCCTGGGAAATCGCTGACATGCCGATCCAAAGGAAGCACAAATGCGCCGTATTTAACATAATTGTCTGAACTCTGCAGCCGGGAGCGGCCGACATCAGCTGTTGCAGACTGTCTACCATGTTCACATGTTTATGTTGACAAATTGTTTGCGAAGCCGGCAGTTGAGCGAGGCCGTGCAGTGCAGCGGGCGGTATATTAACCGGTTTCAGCGCCCTGCAGAGCGCTCACTGTGAAGGCTGGCGAG